CCCCCCCCCCCCCACACACACACACCCAGGTGCTGCCGGCCCCCCACCAGTCTGAGATGGTGCGGTATCTGCTGAACCACCAGAACACCGACGGTGGTTACGGGCTGCACATCGAGGGCCACAGCACCATGTTCGGGACAGCACTCAGGTTGGTGTGTGTGTGTGTGTGTGTGAGCGCGTGAGTGTGTGTGCTTGTGTTTGTGCATGTGTGTGTAGGGAAAATGGGCGGTGATTGCATGGTGTGCACGTGTGCGTGCATGCTGTGCGTTTGCCTGAGTGTGTTGCGAGTGTCTGCTTTGTATAACCTTATGGTGAATGTGCAATTATGTGGCTATGTCAAGGATTTTTTTTGCGTAGCAGATCTGTGGGCGCAAGTTCACACCAGCCCAGGTCAGCGGGCCTCGTCCCAACACCCCGACCCCACCCTCACCCCCACCCTGCGCCACGGCCCCAGCTACACCACCCTGCGGCTGCTGGGCGTCGAGCCCGACATGAAGGAGATGGCGCGCGCACGGGAATGGGTGAGCCCCGCGCCCCGCGGCCCGCGCCGTCGCAGTCCTGCAGCTGTGTACACCCCCCTGCCATGCCCGGCTGCGGCGGCCAGCAGCCCTCGGCCCCTCCGCTCTCGCCCTTGCCGCCCCGCTGCACGTCCCTTGCTCATTGCACTGCGCCATGGCAGCTGCCCTGGGCCTCTCAGCCCAAGCCGGCCCTCCTTCCCGCCCACGACCCCACCCCCCCCACCCCTCGCCCAACCAGATTCACGCGCGCGGCGGCGCTACCCACATCACGTCCTGGGGCAAGTTCTGGCTGGCGGTGCTGGGCGTGTACAGCTGGGAGGGCATGAACCCGCTCACGCCGGAGACGTGGCTGCTGCCTTACAAGGTGGGCGACCTGATCCGACATTTTTTATGTACAGGAATAAGGAGAAGGGGGGGGGGGTGCGGTCGTGGGTGTTGGATCACAGTGGGTAGGCGTCTGCCCCAGCTTTCTCATGACAGAGGTGTGGCTCTGGCAACACGAAGGAAGGGCAAATGCGATGTTTTGTACGAACATCGGATTGTGTTTGAGTGGGTCGAGCTGCGGCGGCTGTTGTCATGCTGCGGGGTTTTTGGCAGGCCGTCTGCAGAAGGCCCCTCTTTTGTTTCCCGGCCGCGCGCCACCGGGCTCGCTTCCCAACGGCTGCTGATGAGCACCCCATCCCAGCGGCCGCCGCACGCCCGCACCCCCCAAGCCCGCCGTGCGCCCGCCAGCCATCAGACCATGCCCGCCCCGCACGCCCCCTCCGTCCCCCGCTTACGCCCTGCCGGCGCCGCCGCGCAGTGGTGGACGGGCCTGGGCTACGTGCACCCCGGGCGGTTCTGGTGCCACTGCCGCATGGTATACCTTCCCATGAGCTACGCCTACAGCAAGAGGGCCACGGCCAAGGAGACGCCCCTCACGGCAGCCATCAGGTGTGCGTGTCTGCATGTGTGTATGCATATGTGTGTGATCACGTGTGGCTGTGATTGTCATTGTATGATTGAGTGTTTGATCGTGTGTGTGTGTGATAGAGTGTGCGTGTGTGTGTGTGTGTGTGTGTGTTTTTGTGTGTGTGTTTGTGTCTTGGGAGGGAAATCTGCCGAAACGAAACAAAACGCCCACCCACCAGCCGCCTCTCGCAACCCCTCTTCCAAAACCCACCCCGCCCCTTCGTGTGCGTGCGCGCCCCGGCCCCGCACCCGCAGGGCCGAGCTGTACCCCGTGCCCTACTCGTCCATAGACTGGAATGCGGCGCGCAGCCAGATCGCAAAGGAGGACCTCTACTACCCCCACCCTCTGGTGCAGGTGAGGGGCGCACCCCTGCCTTCCACCAACAGGCGCGGGGTTCAACCCGGTTCGCCGCCGTCTCGGAGGGTGTAGGGTTGAGGGTTGGGGCAAGCCGCTTGGCGCGGAGGGAGGTCCGGGCCATGGATGTGCCCGGCGCCATGCAGGGGCCAGAGGGTGGTGCGTTCCCTGGGTGTGAGGCGAGGTCAGGGTATGCGGCGCTCCGGGCGATGGGACCCACCAGTCAGCAGCTGTCCCGTCCATTGTTTTGTCAATCTTCACACCCTCACCC